CGCAGCCTTCTTATTCAGGGCTCCGATGCGTTCTGGCTAGATTTATGATTTATTACAAAAGCTAAGAAGTACCGGAGCTGATATCCAATGGGCTCCGACCCAATTTAAGCTCTGATCGTACGGGAGGGGAGTTCTTTTATCATCACAAAAATTAAATATACTTAAAAGTATAGCTGATGAAAATTCCAGGGCGAAACAGAATGAGGGTATGAGTGAGTGGAAACAACAAATGAGAGGAATCTTGGTGAGAGAAAAACTTTTTTTTTTTTTTTTTTTTTTTTTTTTACCGCGGCTCTCTGCTGATATAATTATAACCATCAAGCAGATGTCTGTCAGGGGTAAAATGAGTTCTGAATCTGACTCCTAAGGATGAATGTAAAGTTGCTGGTTACGCTTTCCCCCCATTAGTGGATACTGTAAGAAGACGATGTATAGGACGTGCTTGAGCAGTTTATCTCAGTATTTCACTCTTATTGTAATCTTATTTAGGGCTCCGGTGCGCTCGGGCTAAAATTGTAATTGATCTTAAAAACTGAGAAGTGCCGGAGCCGGTTTCCGGCGCAATTTAAGCACTGGCTTAAAAATTGGTTTGTTGATTGAATCCTTCGTTCTTTGAAATTATTATAGTTCGTTTGATAAAAGTATCAAGATTTGTGATATAAATTCTAAAATAAATTTAATAAATAAGATGTGCTAATCACCAGTTTTAGAGGAAAAACTTTTCTTTAAATAATTATTCAATAGAAAATGATAATGATCAGCAGTGGTCAAGTGGAAAAAATACTGAATATTAGTAATTTAACCTAGGTTCAAATTCATGTGAACGGGCTGCCTGCTAGGGCATTCTGTGTTTTTTTTCCCCCGTATGTAACGTTGAAATGAAATAGTTTCCTTTGGAAAATCCTCCACGAGTGCATCTGTTCTTGTAGGCAGGTAACTCTCTCGTACTTTATCGTTATCAAATAAATGAAACTAGAAAAAGAGTGGAAAATGTTTGGTGTTTGACAAACAGGATGTAATAATAGTTGTCCATTGTACATTAGTTAAATGTTGATTATTACAATGGGACCCTACTATAACGAACTTCAAGGAAGCGCAAGTTTGGTTCGCTATATCGAGTAGTTCTGTATATCCGATTCGATAAGAAAATTAAGATTATGTTGCAAAGAAATACAAAACAATGCTTTTATATTTATATGAAAAAGATTTACGAAAAATACTCGTGAATTTACCTTTAACTTTTATGTAAGTTTATGGTTGCAAAAGAAAGATTCAATAACTTTTGTAAAGAATGTTTTATGTTTCTCAAAACTCAGACAAAGAATCAAAGAACCTACGTACGTTCTTTGGTGTAATGGTCATATACAACACATACAAAAAACGCCCTGCGGTGTTAAGACAAAGAAGTTGAAGGGAACCGTATAGATTCTTTGGTTAAGACTTGCTTATTATGTACTCGTTCTCCTAGATTAGGGGTAACGCCTGTTTCTCATTTTTTCCTGTGTGTTTTGAAACACAGAGAAAAGTGGGGTTGAACATCAAAGGAACGTGATGTAAAGGTGTTTTCCTTTCAAATAAAATGGCCTAATATACTCAAGTATACCTCAAGTATGTTAATATACTAAACGTGGATGATTTTAAGAGGTAGTAATTTTTTCGTTAAAACTTGCAGAAATTCTGTGTAAAATGTGAAAAATACAAAAACGTTTGAATCGAAGATATGCTTATAGTTCGTTGTATTCGATTTTCATAATTTTACTGCTTTATGTAAGTGTAAGACGGAACCAAAAGTTCGTTATTTACATTCGGGGATTCGTTATAAGCCGGGTTGTTTGTAACGGGGTGCCAGTGTGTTTTAGAAAATGTAGGTACTTTCAATAACGCTATAACAGGATTTAATATTAAGTCGTTGAGTAAGGCATGCCTCAAGTATGTTTTCTGAAGTTCTGTTATCTGAGTAAACACTGAAGTTGAGTAACATAGTCTCAAAAGAGTTCCCCCTCCCCCTTGGAGTAATCTCGCCAAAATAAATAAAAAAAGGGAGGAATAAGAAACGATCGTATTATTGATTAATACCTTTGATAGAATTTAAAATTGTTCCAAAATTATCTTACTATTGTTGAGATGAGAATGAGTCATGCTTCTAAAAAGCAGACACTTGAATGATTACTTTCCATCTATGGCTATCATTATAGTGTATTTACTTAGCTCAAAGTTGCCTATTTAGGACTTCCTAAAGGTGGCGTTATAACTCGCGATTAAAACTATTGGGATTTTTTTTTTTTTTTCTTTTCTCACTCTCTCTTTTATTAAAGGTTATACATCTTACTGCCAGCATATTTCATAGCAGCACGTTAAAAATACGCTTATAACAGGGAGGCCCGGCCTTTTTCTTGCATCGACCGATTTTGATAGAATGGTTTTCTTCATCCACCTCCCTTACATTTTTCTCTATAATGTATAAAATACAACATAATGCAAATAATTGCCCATAAATATCTTAAAGATAACGTTTAGCAAATATTATCGCCCTGCATTATATTTGAAGAAATTAAATAATAAAGAATCTGCATAAATGTATGTTTTTTTTTTTTTCGCATTGTGATAAAACACGGTACCTAGAGCCATCCAATTTTGAATGACGTAATCCTCTTGCGAATATGGTCGTCTGGAAGCCTCAATTTGAAATTTGGAATTTGTTTTATTATCGATTTCATATTTTGTAAAACTTTAATGAATTTTTGATTAACAAACTCAAGGATTTCAAAGCCAACAATGGCAACGCTGTACAGAAAAAACATTTTTACCCCCAGCGCGCGAGATTCTGTATCGGAAATTCTAAAGGATATGCTCAATTTAAAACTGTTTTGCGATATTGCTTTTGAACTGAATTTTAAGTGCGAAGAACGTGATATTTAATAAATAAAGGTAACAGACAAAATGTTTTTAAAAAAAACGCCCCTTTGGACGTAATTTAAAATCTGAAGCCTTTCAGTTTTTATTTTAATATTAGTATTGTTAAAATTTACAAATATAAACTTTTCAGAAAGAAAATCACAAATTTTAATTACACAGAAATTCGATTTCAATAAATGGGATGGTTGCGCCCTATGTAGTGATTCAGTTTTTTCAATATTTTGTATAAAATTACTTAACTTATTAAATTACTTCGTTCAGAAATGTTCAACTTGTTTCTTGTCTTCCATTAAAGTTCTGCGTTCTTCGTGTGCGTTTTTGATTTTATTTGTGTTTTTGCATTTTATTTTTTATAGTGAATTTATTGCATAAAATATTTATATATTGAAAAAATTAATATTGATTTAAAATATATTAAATGATTTTAGTATATATTTTTGTTACGCTTATTTCATACGATTTCTTCTTTACTGCATAATACATCTTTACATCAATATACAATCTTCAATCCAAAGGGACAATTTTCCCAGAAGGGCTTTGAATTTCATTTCGGCATTTTGCGTCGTCCACCATAAAACGGCGTTTCACTTTTCAAATTGTTGCCGCCAAATATTACAGCCCTGCATTATATTTAAAGAAATTAAGCAATGAAGAATCTGCATGAATGTATGTATATTTCTCGCATTGTGAAAAAACAGCGGTACCTAGAGACATCAAATTTTGGATAATGTAGTCCTCCGTTCGAAGATGGGCATCTGGAAGCCTCAATTTGGACTTTGGAATTTGTTTTATTATCTATTTCCTATTTTGTAAAGCATTTATGAGTGTTTGATTAAGAAATTCAACGATTTCAAAGTGAGCAATGGCAGCACTGTAGCACTGTACAGAAAAAACATTTTTATCTCCAGCGCGCGAGACTCTATATCGGAAATTCTAAAGATATGCTCTTTTTAAATATTTTGTGATATTGAATTGAATTTTATGTGGTTTAAGTAGGAAGAACATAATACTTATTAAATAAAGGTAACATACAAAACGTTAAAAAAATGCTCTGTCGGGTGTAACATAAAATCTGAAAGCTTTCATTTGTTAATAAATTTTTTTATTTTATTTATCTTTTAATTTTTTTGGAGGAAGTGGTAATCAATAGCATCTTGATTATACCGATCAATTGCTGCTGCATTTTCGGATATCGAACCCCAACGAACGCTTGATCATCATGGACTCCCTTTAAAATTTCATCAACTCGCAAGGAGTCAATACCGACCCCGTTGTGATCCCTGTTGTATTAAAATCTATTTTACTTGAGCTGATAGCGACCATACATGAGAGAATCACATGAATTTCTGTTGGCAGAGGTTGCTAGTAAGCATGCTGATGATTGAATCTTTTTCTAGCACAGCGGTTTTCGATTTTTTTTGGGGGGTAGGGGGGCCTGTGCACCCTTTTAACGCTTGCTAGACAACCATTCCCCCTCTTCGATACCAAACTCGAAATATATATATATATATATATTAATGTGTTTAATAAATTAAACAACAAAATGTTTAGAAAAGAATACCTGAACTTGAATAAAAGTAGTTTTTTGTATTCGTAAAGTAAAACTAAATATTTACCTTATATGTTGGTCAATTGTGCATTTTTTGATTTAAAAGTGATTGAATTATGTTGTTTTTATGTTCCGCTTAAGGTTTTTATGCCTTTAATTAGTTTACATGCAATAGTTGTAGAATTATCACCAATTTAAAAGTTTAAGTATTGCTAGGCCTAACATGGCGACAGTTTGATTTATATTTGAAACTCTTAGTAATGTGTCAGTTTCTGTGTCTTTTGCACAGTGGAACTGAAAGTTAACTTCAATTTTTGTGCACCAAAAATTTTTCTGCCGGTTCGCTATTTGCTATTTGACATTTGAATATTGCTATTTGACTTGGTGATTTTTCGTTTTTTAATACATTTATTTTGAAATAAATTTTTGAATGAAATGCAGTTTTTACTAATAATGTAGATAAGTTTATCTTGATAAATATGTATTAAAGTTATCCTACTTTTATTAGAATTAATATTAACATGATTTGTTTATTTTTCAGGAAGGTATCAGGGGTTGCTTCCGTAATATGCATTTTGTGCACTGTTTTCTCCATAAATTATAACGTGGACAAAAATGCTGTTGATAACTTATATGGAAAATGTTTTTACGGAAATATGGGATGCAAACTTTAAAAGTAGGTGACTGAAATATTTCTGCTTCCCATGCATTCTTATTAGTAATCACATATTTCCTTTAAAATGCCAGCGTGTTCTACATACTCTCCTGACTTGAAAAAGAACTTCGATTATTTCCAGAGGAAAAAAGTGGGAAGCATTCGTGATAATCCAAAATTGCTGAAAATACGGCAGCAGTTTGAAAATGCTTCCCAAGAAACCTCGAAAAAGAAAGATCTTCGCAAAGACATTAAGTGGCCTGATAGTGCACCCTCTTCCTTCAGTCTTAGTTTATCTAAGAGTTCTGGAACTGTCATCTTGGACGAACTTCTTAAAATCAACTCCAAGTTTTCTAGTAAAACAGAAGTATTTTTAAAGAGTCAGTTAGATAATTCGCAAAACCGGCGCCATTCTGAGGGTGAAGTAGAAGATCGTCATAGTTTGACGCTTTTTACATGTAACAGTTCCTCAGAATTGGCTGGTCGGAAAGCGAGTGAAAACAAATTAGGTGTAACTTCAGTTACTAATGAAGTTTCAGTTCAGAATAATAGAACTTCTGGTAAACGATCTCCTGTTGCTACTAAAAGCTTTATACCTTCTAAGTCAATACAAAAACAAAAGAACACTGTAAGTAAGAGAGATACCTCTGAAAACTCATCTTCAGAATCTGGAGTTCACACAAACTCATCTGCCTCAGAGGAGGAAAACATTAATGCAGTTTCTAAAAATTCTGCATATCATATGTTAAAGGAAAACTCGGTTAGATTAGTGGACAGCCAAAAAGATGCTCCACCGATTCCAAAACGAGGACTTTCACCAGCTGTTCAAAATAATTTTTCCTGTTTGACAACTTCGCGGCGAAACTTTAGTAAAGTACCTCAGCCGCTTTCTAAAGAAGTGTCTACATCACAGAGCTTAATCAAAGCCAATAGCGTCCAAAAGGCCATCCAGATATACGAAGGTATGTCATCCAATGATGTTAAAAAGAATAAAATGGTCAAAAATCAAACCAGTCAGAAAGTAACTCCAAGAAATTATATTCATGATAACATCAGAAGATCAGGCATACCCAGGCGTTCTTCTAGGAGAAACAGCATGCGCAAATCTAAATGCTTATTGGACAAAGATATGCCGAAGACATCACCAGTTCTGAAAACCTCTGAAAGTAAAACTTGCAGAGAAGATAGTGGTATAATCGTGAGTGATACGGAAGATAAAAATCAGAGTATTTATCAGACTTTGTCTACCGTAGTGAACATATCTCAAAGTCAATATGATCCTTATGACAGACTGAGCAGGATCCATGATGTTATGAATCGTATTCATAAAGGTCAGTCATCTACTTGCGCTGCCTGCAAAGCTATTCCTTCGAGTGTGCTACAATATAGAACAAACGAATCCTCTTTCCTTCAAGTAAAATGCAATGAAGCGGCTCCACATCATCATCCTCCTTGCATTTGTTTCTCGTGCCAACATTCCATTTTTAGTTGCTCCTTAAAGAGTGAAGCATCCCAGCCTGATCACGTCAATGAAGATAATTTGTATTACAATGTTTGTTGTCTTAATTCACCTAATCGCGAAAGCTGGCGACAGTCCAGACGGAGACCTGTGTGTGAACAAAATGGCCGCCTTTGTATTGTGAACTGCGATATGGAACAGCATTCTGACAACTGTGATCTTTCGAAGTGTAGTGAGGAATTTTACGAGAAACTGTCTGAATGGCATTCGACGCCAGCTGACTCAAAAAGAAGGCATCCTACAAAGCAAATATGTGGTGAGTCTTTATTATAATCTCATGATTCTTTATTAATTCAATACTGTCACTGCATTTGTAAAATATGTTCCAGATCAAATCCTGAGCATTTTCGACAGATTTTAACACCCGAGAAAAATTTCGTATTTTCACCTCCGAAATATTTTTATAATTTTTTTAATTTATTACTCTTAATTTTGTGTGTTCTTTCAATTTTTGCTTGAGTCAAGTGCTTTACAGCTGATTTCAAATGGATTTACTCCAAGGACCGGTAAATTATTTTGGTACGTTCTCATGGACTGGTAAGTGTAATAATTCGACCCATTGGCACAATTTTTGGACAGATAGCTGGATATTTTGCGGGCTGGCAAATATTTCTTGCGGACCGGCGGTTGAGAAACACTGCTTTACATGACCCATTTTCGTCACTGCTCTGTCTGAATATAATATAAAGTCTTGATTTTTTCTTTCTTTAATTAATTTTACAGTTCAAAATTTAATTAGAAGAAAATAGGTTACTGTAATTAGTCCACCATTGTTAAGTTTCGAAATGGCTGGCTGTTATTGATTTTTAAATAGAGTTAGAGAAAATGGTATTAAAACTAGGTAAAGAAGAAATTTTAATTCTTTTCATAAATATCATAACTGCATTTAATATGTTATGAAATTTAATTTGTTTCCAAACGATTATGTAAGTGTCGATAAAAAGAGTTTCAGAAAATAACTAAAAGCTGAAGATGGCTGTTGAGTGTTTTCTGTTATTAAATTGACAAAGGGTCATTCACATTACCAGTAAATTAATGTATTACTTCAGGTTAAATACAGAAGTAAATTGATGCGTGAATTGATGCGGATTTTACATTTCTAATAAATACACTGCTGCCCATTAAAATTGCAATGCCAGGAAGGTATGATCTAACAAATGTCAAAATCACATGACATGAAGAAGAAACTGGGATATGCAAATGATTACTATTTCAGCTCATTTACTATTCACTACTATTTCAAGCAAGGAAAAACGACATCTGAAGCAATGCATAAAAGAAAAGTTGTGTAGTGGATTTCTCATTCGGAAAGTGCTTTGTTTGGTTGCAGTTTGCTCAAAATATCGTGTTATGCCTCGAATAAAAAGAGGAAATGCTTACCAGCAAGTTTCGAAATTCCATAGAGGCAGGATCGTTGCCTATCGGAAGTGTAGATTATTGTTCCGTGATTGTTGCCAGTCGCCCTGGTCGACATCCAACCACTGTCATGCAAATATAGAATCATTGAATTGCTGAGGGTCATACTGAATGGCATGCAGAATCTCAACATCCTCATATGACTAATGCCAGAAAAGACAGATGTATTGTGAGGTCAGCTCTGCAAAACTGTACGACCACATCACGGACCATTAGTCAGGAAATGAGCATGTTTGCAGCACGCCCAGTATCAGCTTGTAAGGTGCGTCAACGTTTGCAGCAGTGTGGGCTATCAACAGGGTGACCATTACTTTGGCTTCCTTTGACAGTGCTGCATAGAGAGAGATGGCGACTCTGGTGCACCAAATGACAAAGCTGGATACAGAAGTGGCACGATGTCACCTTTTCAAACGAGTCCCGGTGCTGTGTGCTGTATTCTGATGGCCGTATGTGTCTGGAGTGTCCGAGGAAACCTCACATCGCCTGCTTGCTTTCGATATCGGCATAGGTGCCGGCACCTATGCTGATATCGAATGGTTTGGGCAGCCATTTGGGCACACAACACACACATCTCTAGTTCGGATCAACAGTAATTTGAACGCAGATGAGTATATTTCTGACATCTTACATCCAGTGGTTGTGCTGTATCTTCGAGGCCCTCAAACGCCATGTTCCAACAAGATAATGCAAGACCACATGTTGCACATCGTATTCTGACCTTCCTTGATACACAGGGTACTCTACTGCTGCTCTGGCCTGCACGGTCTCTAGATATGTCACCCATTGAAAACATCTGGTCATGGGTTACTAAGAGACTGGCCCGCCACCCCTCTCCAGCTAATACGGTTGATGAAGTATGGCATAGAATTGAAGCAGCATGGAATGAGTTGCCCATATCTATCATCCAAGCCCAGCTTGACTCCATGCCTAATTGGGTAAGGGCAATTTCAGCTGCCAGGGGTGGCAGCAGTTTCTGCTAATTTCGCAACCCTGTAAACCTCCAAAATGCTTACAAATTTAATCACTCTGTCTTCATGCCAAACTATTTACATGCAATAAATATCTTTTTGCTTTCCCTCATGGTGGTGTAATTTTAATGGCCAGCAGTGTATTACCAGCAATTCCATATTTATATAAGCTGATGTCAGGTAGCCAAATGTATTTGGTGATTCACTCATTTTGTAGACGAGGGATGGGGCGCCTAACTAAAACATCATGTCACTCCACTTCCACAGCTTTTAGCGATTGAAGCCCTAGCTATTACACTCACGCCAAACACATCACGACCAATCACTATTATCTCCACCTATTTTCCTATACACTCACCTACAAATTCTGTTCGGACAGATTTGCAAACACTTTTAAATACTAACAATCGAGTCATCATAGGTGGAGATTTCAACGCACACCACCGCGAGTGGAACTGCTGGGATATCAATCAACACGGACGAGTCATACACGACATTGCCCTAGCGGCCAATATTCACCTAGCAGTACCAGATAAACCAACACACTGTGGGATAGGTAGACCATCAATTATGGATTTTTTTATTTTAAAAAACATCAACCCCCCGAGTTATGTCAAAAGTCTGACAGAATTGTCTTCAGATCATAATCCGGTGATGATGGAAATATCTATCGACTCCTACAGTACACCACACAAAAGAGCCCTTTTCACAAACTGGGCAGGTTATGCCAAAGCTCTAAACAACACTCAGTACCCTACCACCATGATACACTCCAGGGATGCGTTAGACGCTTATACTGAAGAATTCACTGATGAGCTTAAAGATGCCTTACTCAAAAACAGCAAAGCAATGAGAGCTGATAGAAGATACAAGAACAGTGCAATCCGGGAGCTGATCCGAAACAGAAATCGCACACGGAAGCAATGGCAGCGTTTCAGATGTCCTACGGATAAAATTCTACTTAATCAATTAAACCAACAAGTCAGGACTCTACTAAAAAAACATGCACAACATGACTGGGCCAGACACTTAGAAGCACTATCCACAGATGATAACTCACTGTGGAGTGCTGTATCTAAATTTAAAAGACGCAACACTAATATTTCGCCCATTAATGGCCCCCTAGGGATCGCATACACCGATTTTGAGAAAGCTGAGTCTATTGCAGATCACTATGCATCTCAATTTCGCACTCACAACATTTCTAACCCCCCATACAGAACACTTGGTTTCGACACTCATCACACAATTCCAAACAAAAACACACACAAACAACACACCCTTAATTATGCCATCAGAGGTTATTAGATATATCGAGAAGAGAAAGAACCGAAAAAGCCCTGGTATTGACAAAATCAGTAACAAGATGATCAAGGAAATGGGAGCAAAAATGCTATGTAAATTCTCCAAAACTTATTGAACGCTATGCTCCGAAAATCTACATCACTTTCCAACCAATTGGAAAACTGCTATCATTGCGCCGATCCTGAAACCCGGAAAAGACCCTACGCTGGCTTCCTCCTACAGGCCGATCAAGTTTTATACTGTCGACCTTAAGCAAAATCGCTGAAGCAGTCATTTCCTAAAATAGGATCCAAGAATTCCTCGAAGAAAATCAAATTCTCATCCCACAGCAATACGAATTCCGGAGCAAACACTCTACAACTCATCAATTGTACAGAGTCACAGAAATGATTGCTGAAGGATTCCAAAAAAGACACATCACTGGAGCACTCTTTCTCGATATTTCGAAAGCCTTTGATTGTGTATGGTTACAGGGCCTCACATACAAGCTAATCACTCTGGGTTTCCCAGATTACATCATAAACATCATTAATTCCTATCTATACGATAGATACTTTGTCGTTCGTTATAACAACACTCACTCTACACGGAAAGTAACCCTTGCGGGTTTACCGCAAGGAAGTTTGCTTTCGCCTACATTATTTTCTATTTATACAAACGACATCCCTCACAACCCTCTCACAACACTAGCACTCTATGCAGACGACACTGCGATCCTCTACCAAGCTGCGTCTATGGCCGCAGTCGTACAGGCACTACAAGAACACATCCATGCACTAGAGTCCTGGATGATTAAGTGGAAAATCAAGATCAGTGTTGAAAAGTCGGAAGCTTTCACGAAGAAAAGGATCTTCGACTTAAGTATCACCCTCAAAATGTACGACATCAGTATTCCCTGGGCCAAGCAAGCCAAATACCTCGGTGTCATTTTAGACCAAAAACTCACTTGGGCCCCACACATAACATTTGTTTTGAATAAGTTTCGGGGTACTAAAGCTTTACTCAACTCCCTAATTGCCCGAAACTTCGTTTTATCTATACAAAATACTTCATGTATATAGTAAAATACTTCATGTATATAGATCCATGCTGCGACCCATTATCACCTATGCCTGCCCAGTTTGGGGTTATGTGTGCAAAACTCACATGCTTAAAATTCAGCAAAGTTAAAATGTCATGCTGAGGATTATATCCAACAGTCCCTGGTTCTTCAGGAATGAGGCTATCCAGAATGAATTAAATATTGAAAGTATTAGCATACACATAGCAAAAATAGCACGGAAATTCTTCAGCAACATAGAAAAGATTAACAACAGTTCCATCCCAAGACTAAACTATGACTATAACAGCGAAGCTAACAAAAAAAGACCCGGAGCAGTTCTCCGGCACTTAATTTAAATCTTATCTACTGTTTTAATTACTGATTTTTTGCATTTCAATAGCTATTTTATGTTTGCATTCCTTCACCATACATATGCAACTCTTAAAAGCACACGCTCATGTGTCGCCATCTATCTTACAGAATATGAACCAATAATTCATCACACCATCACTTGATATGTTCAATTTATCCTATTTTTGTACCTAGTTCAGAACTCATTAAAATTAGGCCAACTTATTTCAGTCCAGAATCCCTTTACTTATTGTTATTGTATTATATCTAGACAACTCTCCCTTTTTTTTTTTTTTTTTTTTCTTTTCTTTTTCTTATTTTATCAAATAAATATACCCAGGATTTAAACGAAGTTTAAACTTTAAAATTTTTTCCCCACCAATGCCTGTCGAGCAAGGAAATGCACTCTCTTTACAGGACTCCCATTGGATCACATGACCAGTAGCTCCTCCCACTCAACCATGGACCTGCCCTGCTACCCATTTCTCACTCATTTGAGCGCCGGACGTCGAAGCAGTAACTGTTACGTCTATCTCTCCTGACGGACGTTCTGACTTTACGATTTGTATATACGCAAGGCTCATGATTTAACTATCGCCAATTGCTTATCTTTACTTATGCCATGATTCAACAATCACTGAACTCTCTTGAGGAAAAATATTCTTCCTCTATTATCCTCTCCAACATGTTATGCCAGGAAAGATATGCCTATCTAAAATGAATTATGCACAGGATATGGCTGTCCCAGCCTAGGAGCCTGCTGAAGTGCCCAGCACCTGAGCCTTTGTAGACGAGGTACAGCTTTAAATCATATTTAAAATGTGATTGCGAAATATGGTCTGAAATTAATGTGGCCAATTTCAACTTGTGGTTAATACTGTATAAGGGTTTTCTCCTTCCTTACCACTTGCCTTCGTGGTGTGACTGAAAAGCACAGCTGACTGGCAGTTGGAAGGTCCGTAGTTCGAATCCCCCTTCCCCCGAGGGCATAGCACGGTTTTCATGTTTCTTGCTTCCACAAACCTAATGGCTCTGCAGCTGTATTGAAGGAAGCTTAATCGTTACATTTGCATCCGATATTTTAAAAGTATTAACTCCTTAACTGCCGCAGAAAATGTACAAGAATCATTTTCCAGTGCCACAGTTTTTCACACAGGCGCGCGTCGTTATACGATGTATTAGGGGGAAAATAGGTGCAAGTTTTACTTTCTAAAAACCGTTTACTTTCACAAAATAAAGAAAAAAAGAAAAAAAAAATGAATGCACAAAATGTTAACGTTTTGAGTAAAAGTATAATTAAAAAGATGTAAGTATAATAAAATGATGTTTTTATAATAAAAAAAGATCCTTAAAATGGAATTTCGATCAATTCATTTTTTAGACCAGTAAAGTGTAATATCAGGTTTCAGTGTTATACCTTGTGAAATCAGTATGCCTAAAAACTATATATTTCTTTTGAACTGGTTGAATGTCACGATTTTGTTCTGGATTTTTCGTTTGCTAGGTTTCGGCTCATATACTCGTCTACAAAACGATTAGTTTCAGTAACAATATGAAGCACGAGCAGTTCATCAGAAAATAATTTTAAAAAAATGATTTTTGAAAAGAATTGTTGTAGGGAATGAAACATGATTTGTTATGAGACACCTGAAACGAAACGACAGTCACTGGAATGGTGGCATACTGGTTCCCTGAAATCCAAGAAAGCAAAGCCACCTCTTTCTTTAAGAAAAATCATGTGCACCGTGTTTTGAGACTTTCAAAGAATTTTGTTAATGAACTGGATGGAACAAGGCTCAACAGTCAACGTTAAAGCTTACTGTGAGAGACTGAAAAAGTTACAGCCCTCAATATAGAACAAAAGGCAACTGGACTTCTAACTTCTGGTAGTGTGTTCATGCATGCCAATGAGGAACCGCGTACCGCACACACAATAACGATGCTGCTTGATTCATTTCGCTGGGAACAATTCTTTCACACTCCTTATAGTCCGGATCTAGCTGCATCTGGCTTCCATTTGTTTTCTCTTCTCTTCTGGGCCAGCACTTTGCATTGGTGAGAGGAAAATAGATAAATGTCCAGAACTGGCTCTGGTTCAGACAGCCGAATTGTACGAAGCGGGTATGTTGCAATTAGTACCAAAATATACACATGCCGTAATTCACACGGTGAATATGTGAAAAATAGTTTAAGGTGTGTAGATTTTTTTGTAATAAAATACAAATGAAAACAAAATGTTATAATCTTTTTTAATACTCAAACGATTCTTACTTTCTGGATGGGCTTTGTTGTAACCTTTCTCCAGATCTAAGGTCTGTGACTTAAGAAGCCAGTCGTTGAAAACAGTCTTCAGATCTGCTCGACTTATTCAAAGCACTTGCAAGCCGAAGAAGCACTCCGGTGATAAAAGTGAAACAGATATTTTACTATAACCTATTAGTGACATTCTAAAAACCGGTGAATTCCGCTTTCGTTTGCTGTATAACGAGTTAATAGTTAGTGCGAAATTATGTTAATCTGAGAAAAAAGATCTGTCATTCTATACAACCTATCACTCTTTATTGTTTAGAAATGCAGTGTAATTGCAGATAGTGTTAAAAAATAATTGGTACAAAAGCATAATTAGAGAAAGTAAGGAAAAGGCTCTTGTCAAAAACTTTGCCATATTCTTTGTTAAAACGAGCATGTTTCTAAAATGTGTTATTTTACTTCCCCAAAATATTTATTCATTAGAATTTTACAAAAACGATTCAAGTAAGTACTTTATTAAAAAAGAGATTCTTGAATTTTAGGGGATTCTTGTGACAGTGATGAAGGCTGGGTAGATGTGACTGATTCTGAAGATGAAAAACCTCTGCTCTGTGATACAAGGTAAGTTCAAAGGAAAATTATGAACAGTTGAAGATTATAGTGCCGTGTAAACATTCACATATCATCATTATGTAAAGGTTTGGTAAAATGTAAATAATTATTGCATAATATGTTAGGTTTTCATTTTAAATCCTGGGCCCACCAGTGGCCGAGCGTTAAAGACGCTGAACACTGTTAGTTCGGTCCGAGGTTTGAATCCCATGAATTGGCTGGCTTCATGGGCGTTTTTGTGGTTTTCCCCATGTGCAACATGTATACGAGTGAGTTTCCCTTAGAAAGTCCTCCACAAAGGCATCCCTCCCTTTAGGCAGATAGTCCTCGTGTGCTTTGCCATAATTGAATAATCCAATCAATTTTAAATCCTGTTAAGCATACTCTTATGTTTTGACTGAAATATTCTAGAGTTTCAGATGGAAAGTCTAGTAACAGGAGAATGAAGACAGTGGATTAACGAATACAAAACATTTTCAGCGCCATTAGCAAAGTGATGAAACTAAAATTCCTGTCTTGGAAACAAAACTAGATTAGTCAAAACTTTTCACCCTCTTTGAATGAGTTTGCCTCACTAATTAAAAAAGAAAAACTTTCATTTCTTATCCATCTATTTTATCTGATGGCCTGCTAATGATGGCTGATGATTATCAGCCATCATTAGCAGGCCATCAGATGGCTGATGATATCTGATGGCCTAATCCAATTATGATTTCCAACTTGAAAAGATATACATTACAATTTGTATCAGCATTTTACTTCTCTCTCCATCATCTGCTTTTTACAGGCGCATGGTAAGTTTGTGTTTTTGGTGTGAAACTCTTTTTATCACACCAAACTGATATCAATCCATTAGTGAAAACTGATTCTGAACGACTAATGTAGAGACCTAGATTGACTGCCTGCCTCTTTTTTCATTTCTTTTTAGCTATAGATTTGAGTATATGACTGGTAATTTTATCTTAATGTAATTTTACTATGGTAGAATCCCATTTAAATGGCAGCTACAGGAACTCACTGTTTCTGTATAATTAAATATATATTTCTGGAACTTACATCTTCATGTTTTGTGATACCATCTATAGATATTGCAACATAAGAAGTTTGCCGGTGCATTTTGATATGTCGACCATATTAAACAAATAATATCAAAAATGCTGTAAATTATTTAAAATTAATACACATAATTTTATATATATTATACCTCATAATTTTATACCTCAAGAAGATAAAATTGTTCAACATTTTAAAGTTCAACTTTTTTTTAAGTTTTAATTTTTTAAAAAAATTTAATTTTGAAAATTTGTTGTTTTCTGTTGGTGCACAAGTATTTAAAGATATTTCGATTGTCTTTTTAAATCTGCATATGCTATACATACGAAAGTAAAGCTTATGCTGTCAAAAAAAGTATCATATGCTTTACTTTTGAAACAATTGTAAAATTATATTCATCTTACTGTCCCTTTTTTCTCCCAGTGTTAATAATGTTATTTTCTTTGTATTTATAAATGTATGTTTTTTACCCCATTCTTTATTAACAATATTTTCTTTTTGATCCAAAACTTGTGTACCTGCGTGATTTTAAGCGTACACTATATATTTAATTGCTGGGGATGGAGCCAAGATTCAGAATAATAGTAGTTCTTTAGGAAAATCTTTACATTTATTTATCCATCCATAAGAATCGCTGTAACAACGTGTAAACAGTTTCTGTGTTATTTAAAATATTCTCTCTTCATTGTACACCCAGCTCGTACATAGTGTCTATAAGGATTTTAAAAGTGACGTTACCTAAAAGCAATAACTATGCAAATATTTTGTTTAACATTGAAGTAATTCTATATAAAATGATGAAGAATATATGATTTTAACAACCCATGTTCTTCATTGATGTTTTTGGTGTTGTATTATGAATATGCATAATTGAGAGCATCTTTATTGTACATCAGATCCATCTCGTAGTTTTCATCCTTTGTGTATTTTTTTAGTCTTACATTTTCATGTTAAAAAAAGAGATATGTATATCCATTCCTTTCTTTTACCCCGTTATTTTCATCTATATGCATGTTGTCCCTGAATCGTCTTTTTTCTTTTTTTCAATAACACACAACGGTGTAAGACTTTTTGTTATGCTTCCTTTCCGTAATAGAAATTCTAACTTCTTTCACTCGCCACTAGAGGCACTGTGATATATTTGAGTTCACATGCCATATTTGCTTTCCTATTAATAGACCTCTTTTCTACAACGCTAGAATGTTTAAGGACTCAAGTGAGAATTCTGTACAATCAAGTGATTAATACGTGTGATTGAGACTTTTAGATATATAGCTGTAGATTTTAAATTTTTGTAATTTTTTAGAACTAAGTTTTTAGATATTCATGCAGAATACGATCCACTACTTTTAATTAGTTATTTCATAGGTGGCACAACTGGAATGCTGTTTTTAAATATGGAAATAAATACGAATACCTAAATGAAAATGATTCCATTAACTGATTTATTAACACATTACATATTTTTTCCACTAAACTTAAAGTTACTTCTATAGCAAGTTGGCAATTTTAACGAGTTTTTTTTTTTTCAGAAAAATTGCCAAACCATCGATATTTATGGTATCTCAGTAAACATTATAACCTATTAAAATACAATTTAAAGCACTAAAAAGATGATTAAAAGTGCAGTTTGCAATTAAGAGATTAACACAAATTAAAAATACAAAAATAGCATATTGAGCATTATATGTTATATACGATACATTACTGCTGTTATTCCCATGTACACAGCGATCTGTTTTCGTTTAAGATAGCATCAGAGAAATGCATAAACACGGCATCGCCTTCAGTCTGGGCATTGTGCCTATTAAACAATATTAATATTATATGCATTATTGTTTTTTCTCCCCATGTATACAGTGATCTGTTTTATGAAACATCGAAAAAGTAGGGTCGCTAAGATAAAGTCATTAGCTAAGACGGAAATTGCCAAATTAAGCATGCCTCTTATTTTTCACATGCCTCTATTCTTTGTTCCATAATTTAGTAACAAAAAAAGCTTTTGAAAATAAAAAAATCAGTAGCTTTCATATTCAAATGTGAAATAAAATGATGGCAAAAAGAAATTATTAAAACAAACAGCCAGTTTTAGTAGAACCATCTTAAAAAAATTTAATAAAAGAGATAGATGACAGATCACTTACTACATGATTACTAATTTTTAATTTAAATTTTTTGGATTTTAGGTAATAGCTGTAGGTTTTAAATTTTCGAAGTTTAAAAAAAATCTTGCAATAAATTAATATTGTAATTATTTATTTTTTATATTAAAATAATTTTAAAAAATTGGTTCTTACATAAGAAGATTCCTTTATATTAAAGATTGAAAGTCTGAAGAATGGACATGAAACAAAAGTACAATACTACAAAAATTTATTATTTTTCAATTATACCTTTTAGATTTTTATATAGTAGTTTTATTTGTTATTTTATTTTTATGTATAAATATGCTGAGATATGATACTTTAGCTTTCAAAGTGATTTTATTTTTTCTGCTTACTTAACTATAATTAGAATTCTCTCTTCTTTCAGGCATCTCATTTCAAACAAAAACAATATCAACTTTTGTAAAGGCTCAGATGGACGTCTAACTGCCCAAAACATTGCTTACGACTTTGATCAAATTGTTTCAAAAGTAAGTTATATTATTGTACATATGATATTAGTTTTCGTATTAAAAAATAAAAGTATTTAAAAATAAAAGAGTTCTTGAGGGAATTTTGCTTGAAAGTAATCACAGTGTCACAGTCAAAGGTATGTATCACAATAATAATCAGTTTAATTTTTCACTGTGTTAAGAGTAGAAATTTTAGAAAAACAGCTACTCAAATTATAAGTGTAAGGCTGTTTCACATATATTTGTAGCATTTTGTATGTATTTATGTTTCATTTGTTACTAATTTTAACTCCTGAAATAATTTGTTGTGTGGTGTGTAAATGCCCTAATATGCAGTATTATTTATATAATGATTTCTCTTATTTATGCATTAATGTACAATTTATATTTGCAGTGTGAAAAACTTGACATCTCCAGGTCTTCATCGACTGAACATCTTTATGAAAGCATTGCTGATTTAGATAATCAAAATGCCATAAGTAACTCTGAAGAAAATATTTTACATTCTTCCAATGGTTCAAGCACACTATCACTAAAAAGTGAACAAAATCCAGAAAATGAGTTTGATAGTGGAGAATGGTCAACTGAGAGCGCCTCTCCAATATTTGATGAATCATCAAATAAGGAAAATCTTGAACAAAAGTCATCAACAATTTCAAATCAGTATCGATTTGCTGTGAATAGCGAATGCCAGGAAACAGCTAAAAAGAATTTTATGAAGTCAGTGCTTGGCAAGAAAGTAGTCAATCCCAAAAAACGGCGCATGTCAACTTTTTTTGTGCCATGGTTAGTGTCTAATCAAGAATATGGATCATCATCATCCAGACACCCTAAAAGTAATAACAAAAAACAGAATAGTCATAGTCAAACAATTTCTTCCAAGACATCGCCTTGTAAAAACAAACGCAGTCAGTCTATTCCTTCTAGTTCACCTAAATTGAGCATGTCCTGTACTAAGGCTCTTTTCAGTTCAGCAGAGGTTTTAGACAAGTACAAGGATAAAAGCTCTGAATTAGGTAATTTCTTTATATGAGTTTTATAAAATGTTATATTTTAGTACTAATATAATTTTTAAATATCCCTCACTCTTCATTTAATTTTATGAAATATTTTTATCCCTCACTCTTCATTTAATTATATGAAATATTTTTGTAAAGTAACATTTTTATCATAGATTAACACTTTTCCACTTGAAAATGTTGGCCTTTAATAAGTTATTTATTTATGAATCTAGTACTTTATGTTTAAGCTTTTAAGATTTTCAGTTTTGAAGTCTAAAGTATAATGTACTGGTACTATACGGTATTTCCTTATGCACTTCTTCCTCTTTTTACTAATTTTATTTTCCGAAAATCAAGACGGAAAAATTATGCAAATTATTGAATTTCGCAAGGGCATGGTTACAGCAGAACATAATAAATAAAATGGATTCTTGAATAAACTACGGGTGTCTATTACAATGTTACGAAGAATACCGAGTAATATTAGCATTAAAATATTTAATACCATATCTTCATTTCTTCTTTTCTGCAACTGAAAACTCACCCATTTTTATTATTGTCTGTGATGCTTCTAAGCAACAAGTCATCAATAAATAATTAGAGAAGGGGAATGTGGAGTTGACTCAGGGAAATTGTAGACTGAGTGTCAGTCCATGTTTGTTTCGCTGTGTTGTTTGGTTCTTGTATTAGACTGGCATAAATTTCAACAGTTAGGAGGGAAAGGTTCGGCATCTTTGTAGGTACTTTGAAAGGTTTTGTTTTTGTTTGTAAAATGAAAACAATCACCATATGGATGATTCCATTATAAAATTTAAGGGAGCTCATTTTCTGAATGATTTACGATAAAATTGCATGAATATTTTTGAAATTTTCAGAACTTAGTATTGGCAAGGGGAAAAGATATGCTTGGCGAAAATAATATGGTAATTACAGTCAAAAGTCGTTAATCCGGACTCGTCGGGACTTCGGCGATTCCGTATTATCGATTTTTCCGGATTATAGATCATCAGTTTAAATCTGGTAAGATGGCATACAGAAATTATAAAATTAAAAATATGAAACCGTAATTTATGAAATAAAGAACAATTATGATCTAAAGGGTATCAAAATTTACAAAAAAAAAAAAAAAAAAAAAAAAAAAAAAAAAAAAGCTTAATATTTATTTGTGTACTTTATTAAACATTTCTTTTAATGTAAGTTGTTTAAGTTGCTTCGTTTTATGTGAAAATACCTTCTCTTTAATTCTATAAACAGACATAATTTCTTGTTCAGTTACAAACTTCCGCTGTTCAAGTCCTATAATTGCTGTGTCAAGAAATACCGACTAATTTGTCAATCGAAATTTTTTCATTTTCAATAACCTCTGTGTCACTTTTTTCACTATCGGAAGCGAATTATAATGACGAGGAATTTGATTGAAATCATATCAAAGACGAAGTACATCGAGATGAAATACTACATTTAGTAAGGAATTATAAGCCGAATAAAATAAAAACATCTGCCCTGAAGATAAGTCTAGTGCTGACAGATCAACTTCCAATTCGTTGCGTGCCGTGGCGTCCCCCCCCCCGCTGATGCCACAGAGCGGCATGAAATTGATAGACAGATTTTGAAATGGTTAAAGAAACAAAGAATATTAGAAAGAAGTCCATACAAAGGTGATATGTAATAAAATATATGTTTTGGATTTGTGTAATATTTCTTTTCCAACAGCAGAAATATTACATGAAAATTTTTATTTCACACATTTATACCTAAATATGAGCCTCTTTCATGAGAAACATAAGACATAACTCTAATAATATGGGCTTAGTTGAAGAAATTTTACTCTAAAATACCTATTTATGTCTCAGAATGGAGTAGAAAAATTATACACATTTGTACAAGAAGAGTCTTAGTGTAGCCATGAGTATCTTTTCAGACTAAATAATAAAAGATTCCCAAATTGATCTTTCAAGAATTGGTGTCTAATATAAAATATAACTGCATATTACGATACAATGCAATGCAGCATTTATACTGAGGAATGTTACATTCTTGGCACTTTATGAGTGTTACTAGACTCAAAGAAGAAAGGCTAATTAAAAACTCTTTCGTATGTAATGCTCAGTTTATGTTAGCTCTAATACGAAAAATGGTAGTCTTTTAAACTGGTGACTGTAGAGAAAGTAGGTATATGAATTATGGAACAAAAGTAATTCAAAATAAGTAATAAATTACGAAAAAAATGGCATATACTAAAGGTAGACGAATACTTTTACCTACAAGCTGAAACGGTCTTTTTTAGTGCAACTTGCAGGGTTGTGGCAAGGTACGGTGGTGCATGTATGATAATTTTTTCGGTATTCCTATTGTTTGCTGAGATGTGACAAGGGGATAAGAGAATTTTTTAGAAAATACAGTTTAAAATTGCATTTTATGCATTTAATTTCATATTTTTTAATTTTGATTGACTTGTATTCTTTAGCAGATGCACATTTCTTCACGCATTTAGTATTCTCAGTTGAAGCTGACTGCCACTAAAATTAGGCTTATATATGTGCATATACACTATAAAAATAGATGGGCACATGTGCTGCTGAATTCAGGAGTTTGTGGACAAAATCAGTTAGAAAAAAGATGAAAATGTCATTAGACAGGATTTTATAAAAGACTGGATTACACCATTAAAAAGACCACATTCGGCTCGCGTACCGGCTTTTGCCCGCCTGTTTTAGACTAGACATGACTAAATATAGTATATGAACTCATTATTACTTGACATATAATTAGTTAATGTTAAGTAATAATGAATAATATATAGTTAATAAATAGGTGTAACAGCTGACTAAATGTATTGATGTAAACACTTGCATGTAATCTAGTGAGTTCTAACCTAAAAATGAATCTTATTATTAAAATTAGCGGATCGGAAGCCAAAAGTTTGATGGTCTTCGCTATAATGTTAAAACAAACTCTCAGATATTTTCTAAATCTTAGCAGTGCATATGTGTACCAAAAGGGAGGAAAGGCTAAACATTATAATAAAAATAGTATTTTAGATATGTTATAATTTTATTTCTTAAAAAAAAGTACATTTTGTGTTTTACCAAATGTGAAATAGCTGAGCGTCAGTTGATTTCAAATAAAATTATAGATTGCTTTTCTGAATTAAAGTATCTTTTTCTCAAAGTGCAATTTCTAGATCGTCACAAGAATAGCATGGTTGCTTATTAAGGTGACAAAGAAAACATGGAACTGCAAATTATGTTACAATAACTCCATACCTGAAAGTCATGCAAATATATCTTTTTATCTGTATGGCTACAGTCTCTTCTATTTACTTCTATTTGGGCTCATAAAATTATCACTATTTTATTATTAATTTTAAATATGTGTTTCATTTTAGATAATTGCAGTAGAAAGTGTTTGGAAAGGAGTTTCTGTCTGAATTCTGAAGCTGCTCAGCCAGGATCCTCAAGGTAAATGTTTATTTTATTAAATAATTAATGTCTAATTTAGGTTTCTATCTTCCGTTTTGAAACGGGTTAAAAAAAAGAGTAATGTTAGCCAACCCCCCCCCCCAAAAAAAAGGGGGAGAAAACTCTATAGGACATCGTGATGTTAAAATTTATCTAAACATAGAACATGTCTTTCAGGTTAGTTATTTCAGTAAAGAAAAAACTGAAATAGGAAACATTTTTTTTTTTATTGATAATACTTATTTTAAAACAAAAGAATGTTGTTAGAAAAGATAAGAACAGCACTTTTAATTTAAAGTTACAATATGCAATAGTGAGGGTTTATTATGGTGTAGCCACATGAATTCATGTAAACAAGAATTAGATAAAGTTTAACTAGAAGTACAGTGCATTTTGTTTGATCTTACTTGCTATGTGCTTTTAGTGCTTTGTGATGTATCATGTTACAGGAAATTATTTGGTATTTATTGTCCTATTAAAGGATAAATCTCAAATCTATAGTAATGGTAATTTCTTTAATCTTAAATAGGATAAAAGTACAAAAATTATGTTCACTTACTAAGCAAAATTTTTAATTAGAAGAATTGGTATATGATTGAAAATTAGTATTCGGTCTGATTATTATTGGTATCAATTAAATGAAATACAAAGAACATTTCAAAAGAAAAATCTTGCAGGTATATTAAAAGTAAAATTTATTTAAGTACAATATACTGTTCACTGCATTCTATGTTAGGCAGTATTTCGATAACTTGAGACACCTTTCCGAGTCTGGAACAATTTTTTTATGTCGTCTTGTAAAATGTAGTGCCCGTAAATTATCTTGTAAAATATAGTCATTGTGCTAGTGCTGTTCTAATATTCTCGTTACTCTAAAATGTGTGATCACCAAAATATTTCTTGATATTACATATTACTAAAGTGCAGATGAAAGACTTGCAGTAAAATAATATATGATTGGGAAATGCTATCCTAAATGAGTCCACAGATGAAACTTCACTAAGTATGTACACAGAACAGAAAAATGGTGGTTGTACAGTTTTGTTTCAGTCATAATGGAGAGCACCCTGGGGAAGGATCCAAGGGTCTTCCTACTTCCAGACCATTTGAGAGGACTTTTGTAGCCCAGTAGCCCAAGTAGCACATGATGTAGCAAAGACGTAACCACAACCACTTTGCAACCCCTCGGACCAGTCTGCAACGTCTTTGCTACGTCATGTGCTACTTGGGAGTATTTTAAGTGCCTTCATTTTGCACAGACGCTATATGCTTATAAACATCCAAGCCTTTTCCAGGATTGAAACCTTGTCCCAATGATACAACAGCCAGCATCACTAACCATTAACACTATCAGTGGGCAAAGTAGAAACGCAGGTATAGATTGAAGTAAGGCTGACTCCTGTATATTCATGTAGATATATATTAGATATTGTCAGGCCTTATTAACTGTTAAGCTTTTGTCACAATTTTGAGGAAGAAATAACCACAGGGGCTGATGGTTTCTCTCGAGGACTTTTGTCATATATTTTGAGTGCTCCCTTGTTTAACAGACATGATGCATTTACAAACATCCATGTCGGGATCTGAAACCAGGCCCATCGATATAGCAGTCAGTGTCACTAACCACTATACCAGCTGGGTTCCTGAATATGTATCATAAGTTGCTAGCACTGTCTACAGCACATTATCATCCACAATGAGATTTGAGTTTGTCATAACACCACAGAATTGGAATATGTAGTGGAAGCCTTATGCTTCTTATGAACTAAAAAATTTAGTTTGTACCATATGCTTAAAATAAAATAGTGGCTACTGTGTTCAGAGATATAAAGATGTTTTATTGGTTGATCACTTAAAAAGGGGAGCAACAGTTAATTAATGCTGGTAGGTAAGAATGCTAGACCCCGTGGCTAAGCGTGTCGCACAGCAACACCACAGATCCGGGGTTCGATCCTCAAGCTGACTCAGCCTTTCATCCCTTGAGTGGGCTGATAAAATGACTACCAAGTTCACTGAACACCAGGGGACCTGGAACAAGCTGACCACTTTCCAGGGCATATTCTTATGTATTCTGTGGCCCACAGTCAGGAAACTAGATATTGGGGGCAGTTGTGCCACTGAGTTTAGTTGAGTTATATAAGAATGCAGCAGTGAAACCTTTTTACAATTACCATCAAATGTAATTATCTTGGACTGCTCACAAAATATGTATACTGTTTCATTATGGTATTCGATCATACATGGCTGCTTCTGTTCAAGAACTCTTGCAGTCTAAATATGGCACCAGATGTTTCTATTCTCTTTTCATATGTGAAAGAATATCTTGATGGCCATGGATATTAAATGGATGAGTATGCCAAACCAGAGGTGATATAGTAGCTTAATGTCATAGAAACATTTATGTGAAGGATATCAAAAAGTTTGTCTTATGCATAGCCAAAGACTTTAATCATCTTGTAGCTGCATGGAAGAATAAGATGTTGGTTGTGAAACAGAAATATAATTATATGGATAGTTCTTATAAAATTGAAGTTGTGTCCAACTGAATTTTAGACTAAATGTAATTATATTGTTATTTTGTTTTTTGACCCCAGTAGAATTTAGTTTGAAAATCTAGTTTCTTGACATTATCTTTAATAATTATTAAGGTACGAAAAAACTTGCTTTTCAACTACTTTTTAACTTTAATATCTGAAAGCATGTACTTATTTTTACTACATGAAGATAATCATATGTACAAAAATCATAGCATACCAAAATGGGAAATATTTTCAAATCAAAGCCTTTTTGTTACTCTTTGTTAAATGTGAATTTCCTTTGTGTATGCAAATAAATATTTCACGTTTATTTTTTTTAAAAAATGGCAATTTTACTTTTCAGATCACATCATTAATAGTGCAAAGATATATGCAAAAAAATATATGCTGCCAGAAAGAATTAAGTCATAACTATGAAACTTGGCAGTACTAGTATAGTGTTCAAGTAGATAAACAAATGATCAAAATGTGGGTAAAAAAAAAGCATTTTATTTACGATTAGCAATGCAAAGATGTGAAAATCAGTATGTAGCAACGCTACTCCTGGCAGGTGTACAAGCCAATATTCAGCTGGGTAATGGAGTCTATTAAGTTGCCACTCATCCTTTGTGGTAGATTGGGTCACAAATGGAACAACTGGTCAGTGAGTTGGAACATATCTGTGCAGGGCTAAATTCGCCCACCCAACACATTCCAAACAGTTCTCGAGACCTAGCAGGCCATTCAAGGAACATTAACACATTAAAGACATTGTTCGTAAAATCATGATGTGTGTGGCCGAGCATTGTCCTGCTAGAAAACAGAACCTGGACAACCTGCTACTATAGGCAGTACGATTGGCTGAAAAATGTCAGTGTACCTGCAAGAAGTCAGAGTACCTCACAGCATGGCTAATGGTGAACAGCTGTCCCAGTTGATTGCTCCCTAGACTGTCACACCCTGTGTTCTGCCTGTGTGCTGCTCAGTGACAAATATTACATTGGATTGCTCACTTCTCTGTCACCAGACACATACACGTAGTGATCATCAGCATTGAGAGAAAAGTGTTATTCGTTGCTGAAGCTCACATATCTCTAATTGGACCAGAGCCGAATTTAGACTTAATAAGGCCCTAAACTATTTGAGATATGGGGCCCTTTATGTCTGTTATACTATATTTTAATACTATATTTATATTATATTTTAATTTTTGGGGGGACCCCCCAAGAAAGTGGGGGGTCCTAACCTATAGCTTGTGTAGCTTATATATAAATCTGGCACTGAATTGGCCACAGTCCAGCTTAAGAGAGAGCTGCACCATGCAAGATGACTCTGCTTATGATAGAGTGTCAACAGCAAGTGTCTTAATAACATTGAGATCTGAGCCCAGCATCACCTAGTCTTCTATAAGTTGCTATCTCCCTGTGAGCTGGCAAATGGCATCGAATCAGTAATAGTGTAACTGTTGGTACCGACATGGCAGCTCTTTTAATTGCATGATTATCTCACTTATTGGTGGCCTGAGACATCCTCAGCCGTCACGATGGCCGACTATCCTTTGCTGAGCCACTGGTCCTACAACAGATAATGACGATATCGCTTCTACCAATATGCCAGCCGATCCACCTGTTAAACCAACTGGCCTCTTTTAGCGTTATGATGTGACCTCTCTCAAAGTCTGACGACTGTTTGTAATGCCAGTAGATACATCTTAAAGGCATCTTTTGTTACAGTGTCTTGCATTCAAGCCATCAGTGAGGTTGTAAATGCTCGTCACTCGCCACACCTGCCCTTACATTTTACCAATTGTGCACTTCATATGTACATTGTATAGCTCTGCAGTGCTGATTGATGCTGCAAGTATAATCAATTACACTACTCATCCAACCACAGTTACATGCCGCGTTTCCTAGTTGTGATTCATTTTTTTCTGGGTGCATATATTTTTTTGCAACAGAGTGTATTAGACTAGAATTTTGAAGGTGGGATAAGTTTTAAATAATTTTTAGTTTTTGTTTAACATTTATTTACATATTTCATATTTTATCAAAGTTTGTAAATTAAGCATCTGTATCATAGCTTTCAGATTTTGTAAACTAAGTAATACAATGTTGAATATCTATTTTTTTCTTTATATCATTGTTTTTGTTTTGGGCTAGGTGATAAAACATTGATATAAATATTTTAAATAATTCCACAGCTTGAAGGTACTAGTAGAAATCATTTGTTGTTATAGGAAAGATTTGAAATCTTTTTATGTATTACTTAAACAAAATAAATATTCTGTTATTCAAGAAATGTCCCCTTCCTCTAGAGTTAAAATAGAATGTTTCAAAATGACTTTTGTAAAAGAAGTTGGTAAGATATAAAAGTTAAGTTTCTAGTTAATTTACTTCATGAGATGTGATATTCCTGCCTCAAAAGCAATTAAATATAGGATTTATGTGAAATAAATTACTACATGACATTTGTTATATTACTGTAAAATTTATGATTAAAGTATTTTTATGAAAAATATGTAAATAATGCTTGATCTGGAAAGCTTGATCTTGTACCCAGAATGAGTAAAATTCTTTATGCACTTTACATTTGATTAACATACATGTTATTCTTAGTAGTTCAGTTAAAAACAATCCTACAATGATTTCCATAATTTTTTTTTGTTTCATAATCTTCATTTTGTTTAGTGTTTGAAGTTAACAGCTTTCTCTCTTTATAGAGGATCTGTTGCTTCTTCAGCATATTTAAGGGCTGATCAGTTGCAAACTACCACTGTAACTCAGAGAAAAGCAAGCATATCAACTGAGGCTACTATTGATGTTAACATAGAACGAGTTTACCGACCGTCGACTTCTGGCGACAGTGAACACAGCTATATTCTCTTCCAGCCGATAAAAGAAGAGGTAACCCTAAAAGTTACACTATTAAAATCTGTGCGTGTCTGTGTGTTTGTTTGTAACATCATCTCCGTAAGGACAGGGAGTCAAATTTTGAGAGAGGTACTCCTGGATTCTAAAAATTCATAGGAAGCCATGTCAACCATTCTCAACTTTATTCAATTTTAATCAGCTAAGATAATAATTAAAAACTCTGAAAATGTTAATTTTCTCACCCTGCACATTGCTTTTTTTACTGAACGTCATTGCTGTTTGGTGTGCTGCGTCAAAGCGCGTACAAGATGGAATTTTAAAATTGCCATCCGTCTTTTCTAAACAGAGGTAGAGTAAAATATTTTATGGAATCATGTGCCACGTTTATTCCTCTGTCACTTTTTCTCTGTTTTTTGACAGTGATAAGTTTTATAAAATTTTCTTAAAAAAGCTGAATTTAGCCAAGCCAACAGAAAGCTGAAACACTGAGATTTTTGCAAGATAATGGGAATTAAATCAGTTCAAGATAAAGCTGAAACAATTTGAGATTTTTATAAGTCTAGGATAAACTGAAGCGCGTCAAGTCAAGATGAAGATGAAATAGTTTGAGAATACAGAGCTTATTTCATTCAAATTAAAAAGAATTTTTTTCAGATATATGTAAACTGATTTCATTCATTTTGAAATATTTTTATACATTTTCTTTTCAGGTATACATAGAACTTATAAATTTCACTTTGGCCGCAGCCTGCTACTTTAAATTAAGTGTTGCAGTTATTGTTTAAATTTAACTGATACAATTATTATTACATATTTCAGCATCAAAAACTTGAATAACTAGTGCAACTATGTTTAGCAGTATGTGATTAAATACATTTTTAAGTCACTGCCTTAGTTTGTATTTATACTGAAAAGGAATTCATAAGTTGAAAGAACAATTATGAGGTTAGAATATTCTGTAAAAGAAAAATATTTTTGCTTTTTGAAAAAGAAGAAGCCATGTTAAATTTTCTTGAAATGCATAAGGCATTATGTAAAACTGATATTAATTTGAGATTGATTTTTTTGTGTAATTTTTTTATTTACAGACAAATTAACTTGTGTGTAAATAAAAAGATTTGATTGCATTTAGTAGGTTTGTTTAAGATAGCTTGAAGATTGCTAAAGAGAGATTTATTTTTAGCATTTTATTAGGCTTTCATGTAAAAATTTTTCTGTGCATAAAATTAAATTTGAGTGAAATATTATTACAGTCTGTAGTTATTTAGTGAGAGAGCTATTATGTTTAAGTATGATTAAGTTTTGTAGTAACCCTCTGTAAATATTAAATACTACATGTATCAACATATCAGTGCTTGCATTTTGTTCTGTAAACATAAGAGATGTAAAAAAGTCTTTTGTCACCTCATGAATGAATAAAATTCAGCATTAAATCACAGCTTAAAGATTGACCCTTTTATTTAGTTAGTTATTAAATTACAAGTGTATCATCGATTATAATTTTTTACCGTTCATTGCCATGTAAAATTAATTTGAACACTTTTGTTTTGTTTAATTTTTAATTTTATCATTTTAATAAATTTATTTCTTGTGTTTTAGTCATATCTAAAGTTTATTATATAATATTTATAAATAAAATTAAATTTTTTTAAATGAAATTAATTATAAATTCTTTTTAGGAAGTACCTTTGTATCAGTTTTATGAGAGAAATATCAAGGAAAGAGTATCCTTTTGTCGTAGCCCTAGTAGTATGTCTCCAGTTATGTGGTCTTCAACATCTGAAAGTGGACCAGGTAATGATCTTGTACCTAAAACTATAAGGCCAACATTTTCAGTTGTTGAACAACTGAGTCCTGATGCCAAAGATATGAAAATGCTGTGGTGTGAGCTTCCTGAGGTGAGTGATAAATTTACATATGTTACATAACTAGAAACCTAGCACATAACTAGAAAAGTAACAGAGAATATTTTCTTAGTCTTCTCTTTCATTTTTCTTTAATAAGAATAGTGGATACCAATTTATCATTTTTCTATAGGATGTAGGGAGGGATGAGGAATGTGGGAAAACAATTTTATATTGTAAATAAAATAGCATATATATTTTTCACTATAAATATACTACATCGTACATTATTCTTTCCATCTTGATGGCTGAAGTTTGTCTCAACTGAAAACATAACTTTTTAGAATTTTAAGATGTTTTCATAGTCTACATCTCTTCCACTTGGAAATGCTTTAATTTTTGCAAAACAGTTTTAAGTCTCAAGGAAGCTTTGCACCATTTCATATTCATTTTTATCTTTTTCTACATTCCTTGTAGACCCAAGTTGAAAACTTAATCTGAAACTCCAATAAGTAACAAACAAACAAGCAAACAAAAAAAGTAACAACAAAAGTAAACTTATCTCAGGTTACACTTTTAATTGCACTCAACAGTACCCTAATAACACACGCGCAGAACTGAAAATCATATGCAAAGCGTTACAGCATTACTATGTTGCCATATTTGTTGTTAGAATGAAGGTAATGCAAATTATGAGTACATACTTCAGAAATTTTTTCCCCCAAAAATGAATCAGATCGCTGCGTTAATGCTGCTCTAGGAATGTAATTTACAATTGATTAATGAGGTAAAATGATAGTTTAGGAAATGTCAGATGCTGGAATGAATAATATTCTTTTCATAGAATTACATTGGGGACCAAACATGGCAAAGAATGCATACCCCGTTAAAAAAAAAAAAAAAAAAAAAAAAAAAAAAAGTATCATTGTAATCATTAGAGGAAAATTCTAAAGGACCCAGGTTCTGATTTATATGCATATGAATTGCCATTATTAAGAATTGTTTAAAACTGTAAATATGTTTTTAAAAAATCTCATGTTTTTGTTTATTGAAAGCTATTGGTTATTTATTAAGAGATATTACATCAGAAAGTTTTATATTAATTTTAGTTTTTTTTTTTTTTTTTTTTTTTTTTAGTCCAAAGGGATTTGAATCCCGAAGGACTATTAGTTTCGTTTTGGCATTTTGCGTCGGACTCATAAATGTCGGTTCACTTTTCAAACTGTTGCCACAAAATGTTAGAGTCCTGCATTATATTTGAAGAAATTAAATAATGAAAAAATCTCATAAATGTATGTATATTTCTCGTATTGTGATAAAACAACGGTACATAGAGTCATCGAATTTTGAATAACGTAATCCTCCAACGAATATGAGCATGTGGAAGACCAGACCAAATTTGAAATTTGTTTTATGATCGATTTCCTATTTTTTAAAACTTTGACGAATTTTTGATTAACAAACTCAAGGATTTCAAAGCAAGCAATGGCAACGTTGTGCAGAAAAAAACATTTTTATCTCCAGCGCATGAGTCTCTGTATCGGAAATTCTAAAGATATGCTCATTTTAAAACTATTTTGCGATATTGCTGTTGCACTGGATCTTATGGTTTAAGTGCGAGGAACATGATATTTAATAAAGAAAGGTAACACACAAAATGTTAAAAAACGCCCCTTTGGACGTAATTTAAAATCTGAAACATTTCAGATTTTTTTTTTCTTAATTTTAGTTTTAGTTAATTTTAGTTAGTTTATATTAAATTTTAGCTTGATTTAATGTGAAAGTTAGTAAACAAGGTCAAGTTTTGGACATGAATTTTTTGCTTTGTGTGATTCTATGTCTTAATGATAGAAAAGAAAGTCTTTTTAGAAGAACTTTAGTGGACTTTTTAATTGAATATGTTCTATACTGTTTTTAAATAATAATTAATTAAATAACGCATATTAAGTTTTTAAGCCAAAAATTATATTGTATGTAAATTGATTCAAATGAAGTTTAAACAAACATACTTCAAATATTTAGTATATGCTTCATTATCCTTTGCATATTTAAGTTGGAGGGAGGACTTTTTCTTTAAATCTAAAATCCATAATGTTTGCATTTATGCTAAGCAATTTGACAATACCCACATAGCACAGAAACATCCTTGGGATATCCCAAGGATGTTGCTCGCGGGATATGCGCACATCCTCAGGACATCCCGGAATATCCCGCGAACCTCCTAAACACCTCCTCCCGAGTGCTTAATGTCACATCCCGGGATATCCTCAGGACATCCTAACCAAGTCCCATCAACAGCGTGCGGGATATTATTAGGATATGAACTCCTACTTACTACATCCTCAGGACATCCCGGGATATCCCACAAACCTCCTAAGCACATCCCATTACATCCTAAAAACATCCTATCTATGTCCCATCGACAGCGTATGGGATGTTATTAGGATTTAAAGTCCTACTTACTACATCCTCAGGACATCCCGTAATATCCCAATTTCCTCCTAAACTCATCCTCCTGAGCGCTTAATGTCACATCCCAGTATATCCTTAGGACATCCTATCTACGTCCCACCGACAGCGTATGGGATGTTATCAGGATTTGAAACACTAGTTACAATATCCCTTTAACCTCTTAAATACATACTCTCAACTGCTTAGTGTCACATCCCAGTATATATACAGAGGAAAATCCCAGTGAAAGTATGTGAAGGTGTGATGATCTAAAACCTACTTTTTTTACAAAGATAGTCTCAAATCCTTCTTCTATGGTTTACTATGGAAAAATCAGAAATGTTGAGAAATATTTATACAACTTATTTTGTTTTTAAATCTGAATTTGTGAATATATTAAAACTGAGCAAGGAAATTAAAATGAATTATTAATACAAAATATTAAAACTGAAAATTTTGCTTTTATTTTAAGATATTAAAAATCTTTTGATCATTTTTAAACATCCAATACCCGCAAATTGAATTATTCATAATTAAATTTTACAAAATCAGTTTCTAATTTCAGTTAATTTGTATTAAAAATTGAATAATAAAATTAGCCATTTAATAATCTTTACATAAATGAATCATCTTTCTTTAAAACATGTAATTTATAGTGTTTTGATGACACTGTTGGGAAATTGTTAAAAGGAATAAATTGTATTTTTAAAAACTAAATCAATTCCTAGCCTCAGAATAAATAATATATGTTTTCGTAACATGAGAATGCTGCAGGCTTTTTTATATATTTAATATTTAGTTGTAAAAATTTGACATTATGTTAACAATTCTTCTTTATATCATTCAAAAGGTAACTCAAGAAGCTCTTCTAAAATTCTATCTTTCTGCTCACCACATTAATTAAAAAAAAATCTGAAAGGCCTCAGATTTTAGCAGTCACTCACTCAAGAGGCTAAAAGTTTATGAATGCATAGATTATCAATACAGATGGGGCAGTGGAAATAGCAAAACATTTTATAAGATACTGACACCAGAAAGTTATATATCTTCTATATATTTGAAAAATGAAGAAATATATCATGTAATTATGTAGAAATATTAAAATGTTTTCAATTAGATATATCATGAATTAAATGCATTTTAAATCAATCAGATTAAAAATTAAAAAAAAGCATTGTTAAGAACTGTGTGTAATGCTTTTAAATAGCTTGGCTTGTTAGTCAATAATATATTAGATTTTAAAGGTAAATATGTTAAATTTTGCCAAATGGCAAGACTTGAATGAAAAGCGAAACAAGTTTACGACTGACGATATGAAGTCACATTTCAAAACTAATAGCCCTTTTAGATTAAAAAAAAAAGTTCTGAAAATAATTTGCAATGGTTCATTGGTATTATTTTACGCAAAATTCAGTAAAAAATTAAAAAGAAATTTACCCGTTGAAATCAGCACCAAATTAAACTTTGTAAATTCTAGCGCATGTTAAAGGTTGTCTCATCCAGAATTTTATTACTAACCATTCATTTCAGAGCAAAATAAAACAGTAATTGCCATTTATATGACAATCAATATCAAAAATTTAAATCTGCATTTTACGCAACATAGAAAAACTTCAAAAGATCTACTGTTTACCATGCAATTAAGGCATTTTATTCTGCAATCAACTCTACCAATTATTAATTCCATTAAGTATATTCAGTTTACTCTTTCTGCTCAATATATGCTATGTAAAATTTTCCATAAATTTATTAATTCATTTTATTTTGAGGTGAGCTTTTATTCAACTCTCAATGTCAACGAGAATGTTTAGTTCATTTTTTATTCGGTCTCAAAAGAGAAATCAAAATACGTGGATTTATGTACGTGTATTTATGAATCAAAATACATGAGAAATCACAGTGAGAAAAGCACTGCTACCTTAAACTGTGATTATATATAACAAATGCAGTGAATTATAGTTAAAAAAATAGTGAAAATATTTATATTTCTGAACTATTTCATATATAACATTTTCAGTTTCGCATATGTGGCAATTTAAGAACTTTTTTACGTATACCAATTTTTTGAAATATCTGCAAATTTTTGTATCTTCAAGGAAAGCTTATTCTTTCACCTTTAGTATATAAGTAATGGTAATTTACCAGATAAAATTACTTAATGGGGAATACAGAAAAATATCTAATCACTTACCTTTGTGACTTCATCTGCAGAGAGACTAAAAAAGTAGTTCAGCTAAATCTGTTATAATAAATATAATAATGCTAATAAATGCAATATCTATTAATATGAACAAATTTTTGTAAAGCTATTTATTTGGATGAAAAATAAACACATTCAGAAATTTATGGCACTATATTATGATTACTTTTCAAAATTCAAAATAGTTTTTATTAATCCAATTTATCACATTTTATTTGAATTCATGAAAAACAATCTTATATCCATGTATTCTTATGTATATATAAGAACTCTTGATAAATTGGATCTCTGTCATTGCCTTTCACAGCACCTAAAATAAAAAAACACTCACTCAATTACTATATGTGAATATAATTCATAATTAAATTTAAACAAATGACTATTAGAATGCAAATTAAAGGAA